AAAAAAAAAAAAAAAAAAATAGTAAAACTGGTGAGTCGTGAGAGGTGAAAGAAGAAACATAGAGGAAAAAGTAAATAATGAGGGAAATAAGAAGGACCAAATAAGAAAGAAAAAGGAAGAGGAGTGAGTGATATGGGACATAAGGAGTATATACTCTGGTATTTTTATTTTTGGATTTGAGGACGGTGTACGGGCGCTCAGTCCGAGCTTTCGACTTCTCAAGATTTGTTTCGACCTTACAATGGCGGCGAACGGTATAGCTCTCTCCTTTGCTCAGATCCCAGAAAGTTTTAATCGTATTTTCATTCTTTTCATTTGGGTTTATGATTTCTCTTTCAATTTTCACAGATTACTTTTTCTCGAACAAATCGGCTAAGGTATTCGTTGCCGGCCATCGTGGCCTTGTCGGTTCAGCCATAGTCCGGAAGCTTTTGTCCCTCGGCTTCACCAACCTCCTGCTCCGAAGCCACGCCGAACTCGATCTTACCCGGCAGTCAGATGTTGAGTCATTCTTCGCCGCCGAGAAGCCCCAGTACGTCATCCTCGCCGCCGCAAAAGTAGGTGGCATCCATGCCAACAACACCTATCCCGCTGACTTTATTGCGGTTAACCTCCAAATCCAGACCAATGTCATCGACTCATCATATCGCCATGGCGTCAAAAAGATCATTTTCCTTGGCTCTTCATGTATTTATCCCAAATTCGCCCCCCAGCCGATCCCGGAGAACGCACTTCTCTCTGGTCCTTTGGAGCCCACCAACGAGTGGTACGCTATAGCTAAAATCTCTGGTATCAAAATGTGCCAGGCATACAGGATCCAGCATAAATTTGATGCTATATCTGCCATGCCCACCAATTTGTACGGTCCCAATGACAACTTTCATCCCGAAAACTCACATGTTTTGCCTGCTTTGATCCGAAGATTTCATGAAGCTAAGGTTCAGGGGGCAAAGCAGGTGGTGGTTTGGGGTACAGGAAGTCCTCTAAGGGAGTTTCTGCATGTTGATGATTTGGCCGATGCAGTGATGTTCTTGATGGAGAAGTATAGTGGATTGGAGCATGTGAATGTAGGAAGTGGAAAAGAGGTGACTATTAAGGAATTGGCGGAGCTGGTGAAAGAGGTTGTGGGGTTCCAGGGAGAGCTTGTTTGGGATAGTTCCAAGCCAGATGGGACTCCCAGGAAGCTCATGGATAGCTCAAAGCTAGCAAATTTGGGGTGGAGCCCCAACGTTTCATTGAAAGATGGCCTCGTTGATACTTATAAGTGGTACTTGGAGAACAGTAAGCAATGATACAGGTGATTTAGTTAGAGCCAGGCAGGTTTTTGATGCTTGTTATGGGGTTAAGATCATTATTATTGTTAGTTTTCATTATGCCATACAGTGATTGGGAGCATTGTGATTCATGATCCATTGTTTCTAAGGTCATTGTGAGGGTCGAGGAATTCCTCTGGTAGGTATGAGCTATTGTATGCTAGTTGGATTGGACTTGTTATCAGAACCATTGTCTTTCAAATTCCAATAAAATGATTATTTTCAATCATGATCATTTTTCAATTCCTCTTGTACAAGGACAGAGCTGTTGTATGCTAGTTGAATTGGACTTGCTATCAGAAACATTGTCTTTCAAATTCTAATAATTTGATTATTTTCAATCATGATCTTGTTAATATCCTAGTGAACTATCAACCATGCATAAGGGTTTTTTTCCTGATTTCCATGCACAAAGGTGCCCTCGCTCTGATGAGTGTGCTTCGGGTCTCAGGTTGTCATTCCCCATCCCCAACAACAGATACTAAAAGATTAGTGTACTAATTACCTGTCTCAAAAAAGCCAAAAATAAAAAAAAAATAAAAAAAATTTAGGAGATTTTGCTGAGTTTGTTCTTCTGGATTTTCCATATATTTTGCCCATTTGTTTTATCATTTTATTGCATACTCACGAGGAAAATTGATTGGAATTCTGTCTTTGTTGTGGCCTTTTCTGTTAAAGTATTACCATGTAGGCTACTGTGCTTGTTGTAGCTAATGAATCTGCCTTCTCTGGTGACACGCTACTTTGCATGTACATGTGTCTTGATTAGTTCTTCTTTTAGCATCCTGTTATAATTGACAATAGGTTTTCCTACTAATTACCTTGTTGTCATCTTTCATGATATATATATATATATATATATATATATATTACAGCAATCTCTTTGTTAGATACCTTAAATTAGCCTTGTTTTATGTTCTTCCACTGCTAGATAAACTCCCATTCTTTCTTACAATATATGATCAATTTGTTGATTGCCATGATATTCCATTATTGAGGAATTTTATGTCAAAGTTTAATTTATTTGTGCTGTATATGTATGCATTTTCTTAGCCTAGATCAGTGCATCTAACCACAGACCACATATGATTCAGTTTCAGGAGTTGGTGTGCTTTACCGTTTTAAATTTTCTCTGTCCTTATTGCTTATCTCATGAGCATATATATCTCATGCGAGTTTTGTGTTATTGACTGCCAAATCATGGACTCTGAAAATAGTCTGTGTTACCATATATGAATTTATGTTTCTTTTGCTTATTTTTGCATTGGTTAGGAGCTCCTGTGAACAGAATCCTCTTACTGAACGTTGCAACTTCATTCCTCCTTTTGTTATACAGTGTCAGTAAATGGTGAATGGAATAAACAGTTCCTTCTTCAATAACAACTACCTGTAGGATTTCCCACACGGGTCTCCGTTCTCTTTATTATGGTTCAGAACCTTGCCTGAGCATCGTCACTCCCTTCTCTGCTCCTCCTATTCTAGATCACTGCATGCACCGGTCTTTCTTATTTTTGAACAGGGGCAATTATGGGGAAAGGGGGTAAACTGCAAGTCGTTGATGACAGTTCAAGTCCAAACCAAGGGGTCCCAATTCCCAAGCCCTTATTGGGCTTGGTACATGCAGCTAATGTAAAACATCAGTTTGTCCTATAGCTCTTTCTTTACTGGTAATGCGCACGCTCATAATACTACTACATACCTTAAACATCTTTTGTCAGGTTGGTGAGATAAAAAAATAGTTTCAAAATGGAAGCAATAATTGGACAAACATAAGGACAACAGACCAGATGACCAGATGTTATCTAAGAGCTTTTACTTCCACTGAGCTAATTCGACAAATTTACAACCAAAATTTTGTGCCTCAACACTACGTGCCCAAAAATCAGCAGCAAGATCCTAATGTAAAGCTAGTTAAATCCCAACTAAAATCAGAAGCTAAGTTCTATCAAAGCCCAAGATAGTTACTACATTCGTGCATTTTCAGCTGTAAAAATAAATTAACAAAGAGATCAAGAGACATCCTACTAAATCTATCTTAGCTTGGCACGCTTTGGAACACCGCTACTGGGGGCAGCACGAGATTTCCCAAAAGCCTTAATCTTTCTTCTTTTTCTCTCCTCCTCACTGTCAGATTCATCCCCTTTCTCTCTATCTGCATTGCTTGCTTCTCTTTCCAACTCCTCCCACGTCTCCCCCTTCTCTTCCTCTGAGTCTTCTTCAGAGTCCTCCTCTTCTTCATCGTCAGATTCCACCAATGACTCACTATCAGAGTCATCATCATCGTCATCGTCATCTGACTCAGACTCAGACTCCATATCAGATGGCTCATAACCCTGGTCTGACCCTACTAAGTTCTCAGAATCTGAATCACTAGCTTCCAAGTTCAAGAATTCCCAACCACCATTTTCTATAAAGCTCTGTGGGTCATTGGTGATTGTCTTCAATATCTGCCGCCAATTCAGATTCAACCTGCTCTCATAATACTTTATGTCTGTTGTGTCCAGCCACTCTTTAATAGCATCGAGTGAAGTTGAGGGGATGGAATCAATCCTAAGCACATCTTGCTTAAAGTCCTTAAAGATGATGGTCATGTCAAAAATTTTCTGCCCAAGACCAACTCTCTCTAGGTTCACAATCTCAATCTCACTTAAGGTGACAATGAGGAAAGGAGTCTCTACCAGCTCAACCAGACAGCTGGAGGATGGCACAATGAAAGCTGAGGCCTTGTATGGCACCCCATGGAAGCCAAGTTCTCTGAGAGGCTGATCAAACTCAAGGTCAAGCCTGTTAAATTGGGGCTGACCCCAGAGATCATTCACCCGATTAACAAAGCTCTGAAAGTCCATATTGATCTTGTTCTTCCTGTCCCTCTCCCTCTGTTCTTCTTCAATCTCATCTGGGTCATAGGCAGACCTTTTCCCCCCTCCCAATGTCTGGACCACGTCCATCACTTCAACATCGAACTGCACATCCTTTGTTTTCTTGTTTCCCACCATTATGTGATTATGCAGGTGAAAGTGAAGCAGAGTGATCATCTCTTTCTCTGCAGGCTGGAAGAATGCATGCTTTATGTTTCCGTACATGATATCCACACGTTCATCAGCTCTAGTGGTAGAATATCGGAAACTATTAAAATGAGCTTCAAGTGCTCCAGGAATCTTTCTTCCTCAACCAACAAAAACAGGACGAATCCAAAGATCAGTCAGTCTTATAGGCTTGAACCGGTTCCCTGCAAGTTGGAGTTTCTCTTGAGTAACCAAGGTTGCTCTCTCAGCTCTCTCTGACTCCCTGGCCACAACTTGCCTTTCTAAGTGTTTTAATCAACCGTACCACTTCACTTATGTGCCTTGGATCCTTGGAGCGAAATGAGACCTCCTTAAGATAAATGGCCCCTTGGTTTTTCAAGGTGTTGGTGTCCTGAGGATTAAAAGGGGTCCCAGGTACATTAAATATTATCCGGATAAAGCAATTACGATTAGTATCCTGCTGACTAGAAACTGTTCTTATAGTAGCAATATGGAAAGGAACCATACTACCATATATGGGCAACAGTACTGCTTCATTCTTCTGGTCAATCTGAATCATGAGATCTTTTGGAGGGGGAAGATCATTGACATTCTTATAGGCAATCAAATCAGTCGAAGTCTTAGCAGCAACTCGAAGATCTCCTGTCCCATTTCCACCACCAGCAAGTCATCGTGCAGTTTCTTCGTCCTTCTGCCGGGCAGGTTCTGCCTGGTGCTGCCTCCCTAGCTCCTCCTTCGAGATCTCATGATTATCTGATCTGAGAGTGGTCTTAGACATGAAGGTGTCAGTTCCATTGGCTTCAGCTTTCACTTTAGGCCTTTTTACTTTCTCATGATTCTTATTCAAAAAGTATGTCACATCCGTAACATTTTTAGAGCTTTTTGCAGTCAATACCTCCACATTCTCTTCACGAACAATAACTGTATCTGCAATCAAGAGAGAAAAATTTTGGTTCTTTGGGTTCTTGGTCTCACACCATATGTTTTGGAAACCAAGCGATAAATTAAAAACCATTCCATCTTTCACCACACGATCATTCTTGGCATTGAGATTAAGCCCAGACTCACGAAACTCGAGACCTACGCCTGTCCCAGCAGATTTTGTAAGATTGGGAACCAACTCGGGAGCATCTTTCTCAACCACTGAAAGGGCCGCTTGATATGCAGCACTGATCTTGTCCCCAGGTTTCAATGCACCTAAAGCTGCTTCATGGGCCTTATGAAGAACCTTGTATGCCTTACTCTGCAGAGAATTGGCATTAATCATTAATGTCCTGGCAATGTTTGAGCAATAACTGTTATAACGAGCTCCAACTGCACATATAAATATATAATAACACGGGCAGAATCATAGTAAAGAAGATCATCATTGCTTTGAGCACTAGGTTTGAGATCAAACTGACCCCTGCTTTGGAAAATTGGAGGATAACATATATCAACATTCTCTGCCGTAAACTTTACTTTAGCTTTGAAGGGTTCTAGTATAGCCTTCTCTGTCTCATCCATCAAGACTGAGTGAGTCACTTCCATTTCCTCATCAATGACATTCTCAAGCTTAGGAACCACAACATTCTGCATCACATTGAGAGCTAAGTAAGCAGCTTTCTTCACATTCAAGATCTCATGTTCGTCCTTCACTGCAAACAGATCAGACAAGCCATTGGATACATCAGTTAGATGAAAACTTGCAATCTTTAGTTTCTCAGCCCATGTCTCCAAAAGTTTCCCTTCAGGCTCCTCTCTCGCTATGTAACCAACAACAGGAGCATTGTTTCCATCTACCTTTGGCTGTGCATGGATAGCCCGGAATATAGTATCCATCTGTGTGGTCCCATCCTCATTCTTAGCCTTCACATGCATCACAACATCTAGCCCCCTAGCCTCCTTGGCGGTTTTCTTCACAACTTCAAGCAAAGAAGCCTTCTTCTGGCTACAGAGGAAATGAATATGCCTCTTGGCGAAAACCATTATTGTCTCAGGGAACTCATACCCTAGCAACCATATATTTAAGGCTGAGGATTTGAGGTACCGCAGGTCCTTTGATGCTGGTGGTGTTGCCATTGCAAGGACATCAGTGGAACTCCAGAGATCAAACTTGCACTGATTCCAATGTGAATACAGAGCCTTTAAGCGCCCGGTGAAATTCTCCAGATGAATTAAGGATTTCCTGATCCTGCAGAAGCCCCATTTTTTGGTTGACCATTGGCATTCCAGTGATCAGCCATTAAAATCTAGAAGGCCCACAAATTTTCTGGAAGAAAAGAAAAGAGCTTCAATAAAATGTAAAACAACAAAACTCAAAAATTTTCCAGGATTATCTAATGTAACAGTAGTCACAAATTCCTTCAATTATTGAACTACAATTCATGTTCAACTTTATGCCATCAAGAATACTGAAATCACATGAAACAAATGAATATAATTTGAAAGAAAAACATACGTAGACATAATCTAGATCCTAAGTAAACCTATAAACACAATGGCATTTTTTAAGTGTGTGAAAACAAACAATCAAAATGAAGCTGGAATTACACTTTGCAGTCTCAGGAACTACAGCTTCTATTCCCTTAGGGTTAGGGTTTGTGTTTTATAGTTGAGAACCTCCTTCAGAGGGAAAACTATAGCCACAACTAAACAGCACCGCCACTCCATAAACCCTCTCATTGGGCATTATACCCGCGTTAGGTTTCAATTATCACACATGACGGGGAATAAACGCCGGAAGCAACCCAAAACCCATCCAATAACAAGAAAAAATATCATAAAAGCGCCGCATACGGTGGAACAACCATGGAAGAATACGATAATCGGCAGACGAAACAATTTGTTTCTCTTGCAATAGAAAAACCTAACAACAATCTCGTTATGGAATTGGGGTCGGTTTTAAGCCAAAAAAATAAAGAAAAACAATGCTTCCAAAGAAATTATTCAGCAATTTGAATTCGCAGAGAAAAATTAAGGGACGAGATAAGGGAATGATGACGAACTTACCTTACTGTGAGCAGCTGCGGAGGAGGAAGAATGATTCCTGCGTTCCAATGTCGTAAACCCAAGAGATGGAGAAGGCGCTAACATTCGCCCTTCGTTTCTGTATTTTCCTTTTCCTTCTCATTTTATAGAAAGAGTTTGAATTATACCTGGGTCTTGTCTTTGTTTTGGGCCCTTACTTACCCCGTTCGAATGTGGGAATTTTATTATTATTATTGTACTTTTTTAAATTTATATCGAATAAAATAACGTTAGTAAAAATGAAAGAACATATTATTATAAATTTTTTCACTTAGTTCTCATGGACTAATAAAAATTTAGTTAAATTGATATATATTAATTTAAAAAATCTTAATTTATAATCAAAATTAAGGATTCAAACTTTTTTAATGCTAAGTAATTAACTTTTGATGTAAAAAAAAAAAGAACTCCATTCATGACTCAACTTGGCTACATTTATAGCTCCATTCAAATGTTATTCATAGTTTTACTTGATCATATTCAATAACTAATGTAACTCTTATATTTCCTTAGTCTAAGTCTAAGTTTGTATAATTTTTGCATGATAAGATAAGAAGTTTATTAGAAAAAATTTGTTATTTTGTTATTTTCTTTCTTTATTCTATAATACATTTTTGACACAATTGTCTCAACAATTCAATTTGAAATAATATCTTGAGGTAACTTTTTATTTTTTTAATTTAAATATGTTTTAGTGGTACATTAATATTTGACAAATTTTTGTAATTATAATGTAAAACTTGAGTTTACCATCATTGATATAAACAGCTCAATTTCTTTGCTATGAATACTTAATATTGAAATCTATTCCATTGCAAATAACTTTGGATACATAATTGTTGAAGGAAATCAAACATTTTTGTAAGATTATGTTAAAGTGATGATATTTCTCTACTATTATTTCCATAAAAGATTCAACATTGAATACTTAACAATTAAAAATCTATTATAATTATGGCAAAATTTAAAAAAATTATATGATCACCTAAAATCATTGATCCTTCTAAATGCTCAATATAAATTGATGCATTTATATTGTAAGATTTGATATGGGCTAGGGAGTATAACTTTACATTATTTCAAATTTTTTATCAATTAAAATTATGCAAAAAAAATATTACCGATGATAACATATTGAATAAAACATTTCTTATTTTTTCATGCATAGAATTTGTCTCTACAACAATAATATTGAGTGCATGGTTTTAAAAAAAATTTAAAATTAATATCATGTATTCTTAATTACCTAATAAAATAGTGAGTTTTTGATTAAAATTATCATTATTAACTTATTGGTTTAGCTCCATTACACGAAATAAATATAATCTCCTATGATAATAATAAATCTAATTATGGTTGTGGTTGGTTGAAAATGTAATTGTGGTTGAAATAATACGTGATATTACCGTGGTTTTACCACAACAAATATGAATTTATTGAACCAAATTGTAAGAGGTAAAAATTTCAGAAAGCAGCCTGCAAAGGATTCTAACAGTGCTCGTCATGGATGTGGTATGAAGAGGCATCGAGGATGTTCCTGCCCCGCAGCCAAACATTTGGATAAAATGCTCTTTAAAAATTTCAAAATGGATAAAAAATTTCATGAGGGGTTAATTAATTTAAAAAATTTTTTAAAATGAAAATGCATAAAATGTTATTCCCTCTATTTAATAGTTTTAATTTAATTTTTAATTTTGTAGATATAAATTTTAAATAAAAATTTAACAAATTAGCACTTGTTAGTCACAATTCCTAAAAAAATTAAAATATCAACTTATTAGAAGTTAATATTAATTCAAAATTTAAAAATTCAATCAAATTTTAAATCTAAATATCAATATTTAATCAGATAAATTTTTAAATTTAAATAAAATTTTAATAAAATAAAATAAAATAATTTAAAATTAATTTTTTTAAAAAAATTAGAATTGATATGTATTTTTTTATATAAATTATAATAAAAAACTTGTTAATCAAATAAAACTATTCAATAAAATTAGATATTAAAAAATTTCTAATTATTATTTATATAAATGTTAAATTTTTTATATGAAAGTTATGTTTCAAAATTTTAAAAATTAAACTAAAGCTATTAAAATTCAACAGGTAGAGAATACTTAAAATTTAAAGTTTAAAAATTTTTTTCGATGCCACGTCCCCAGCTTCTTCCTTCATTTAAAATATTTTATGGTCTAAACAGTAAAACATGGATTCATCTCTTATTTAAAAAAAAAGAAAAAGAAAAAAAAGAAGGCTTTCTCTGCGATAAGGTTGCCCTCACTGTATAACTCCTCAAGAAAACGACAGAAATCTCTCACTAAACGACGCCAAACCTTAGTGGGCCCGCAACCCACACGAGTCCCGGGCAGTCCCAATTCCCGAGATCCGAGTCAGCGCCCACCCTCTCCGTTACCCGCCGTAACGGCAAATCGCCCATCGAAAGCGAATCTCGTAACGGTGGGAAGATTTTGGCGGTAAAAAGATCCTAACATCATGACGTGTCGCAACCCCATTGGCTTTCATGCGTGTTATGTGCTCTATCATGTCCTTCGCATGCCATCATGTGTGTTGTTTTTCCCGCGCTAGAGGGATTCCGATAGGGTTTCCCACAAAAAGAGGCCCAAAGTGTAGAGAGAGAAAGAGAAAAAAGAGAGGGAAAATCTTAGGGTTCTTGGCGAAAGTCTTCTCGCTGTTTTATCTTGCAATCGACCTGCTGAATCTCCTCCGATTGCCGTCCCCGGAGCTGCCGCGTCTTTGTGATTACTGGATCTATACATCAGTGAGCTCTCTTTTATTGTTCGAGATTCCAGCCGAATTGTGGACGTTGTAAGGTTCCTTCTTTTCGTTTGTCATGTTCAATTTTTTGAAATTCGATTAGCTCTAGATTAGTTCACTAGCTGTTTACTTGCACCTCTGAGAACAAATTCGCCGATTTTTTGAAGAAAAAAAAATTAATTTGTAGAATGCTGAGTGAATCGATGGTATTATCTTCTTCCTCAAAGAAGTTCTTTTCTTGGATTTTTTATGATCTGTATTTTAGGTAAAGTTTCTAGGAGTTTTTCTTTGATTTCTGAATTGGCCTCTGGTGTCTCTATCTTGAATCTGCTTATTTTGATTTTATTTGAATTTGACCAATTTGGAATTTTTAATCGGAAATTAAGGTTATGTGTTGTATGATTCTAGCTTTTTTGAAGACTATGGACGAGTCAAAGCCTTTGATTGCAACGCCTGGTAACTCACAAATCAATAGGAGTGACAGCAATGCTGTTGAAGCTAGATTCACTGACTTGTGCAAGGTCTTTTCTTTGCTTTTCTTTGAAATTTGATATTTTTATTTTTAAAGTTTTGATTTTCTATATGGCTTGTCTTGTATTGCCTCTTCATGTTATGTCACGTACCTTACCTTACGCATGTTGATTTGAAAATTGGGTTTTGATTGCAGAGTGGGTTATCATTGCTTGAGAACACTTACAATGACGCTATGAAGTTATTCAAAGAAACTAAACACCTTTTATCAGCTAATGTCTCAACAATTGGAAATGGAGCAGTATGTATTTTTAATATTATGGATGATATGTTTATCTAAATTTTTATGTGTAATGTGTATGATAGCTAGCATTTCGTAACTGATTGCACTTTTATGCATTAGCTGGAAGAAGCAGAGCGGTTTTGGTTTGCATTTGTTCTGTATTCCATAAAGAGGCTTAGTGAGAAAACAGCAGAAAGTGTGCAGCCGGGTGATAATAAGTTTACTTTATGCCAAATATTGAGAGCTGCAAAACTGAAGTATGACATTCTTACTTTTGGTGTAAATTTGGATAGTCTTTAACGGGACCTACTGTTCTAATGTTTGCCAGCTTCTTGTGTTTCTTGCAGTATTGTGGATTTCTTTAAAGAGCTACCTCAGTTTGTTGTAAAAGCTGGTCCTGTTTTAAGTAACATGTATGGTGAAGATTGGGAGAACAGACTTGAGGTATAAACTGAATGAAGATTTATGGTTTTATTTGCTTTTTTTTTAGTATGTAATTTACAAGTATAGTCATGTGATTTTGTTTTAATATTCTACCAATAATTTTATTTCTCTCATCAGGCAAATGAGTTGCAGACAAATTTTGTTCACTTGAGCCTTTTAAGCAAGTAGGTGTACCCTCTTTTTAATCTCTCTTTTGAGTTTATCTGTAATTAATTGATTTGTTGGGTTTTTTTCAGAAAATTTCAAACAGTTGTTGTCTTAGTTGCTCTGAAATTTTGAAGTTCTTAGTGAACTAAATAATTAGGACCATGTGTCCTTGAGAATGACTTTCTTGGCACTCAATATGTTTGTCTTAACACACTTTTAGTAAGTTCATCAAGAAGGAAAAGAAAACATACAATAAAATGAACTTATTTTATTTATTCCACGTATCCTCCAAATATAGTTCGGCTGTATTTTTTAAATTATCCTTTCAAGTTTATACTCTATATGGAATTAATTTGTACTATATAATGAATATAAGGTCATACAAGCGGGCATTCCGGGAGCTTTTCTTGTCAAGTGATGCAAACATTGACAAGAACTCAGACACTGATGATGCTGCTGATCCTGTCTCGGAGTACCGTCGATTTGGGTGGTTACTGTTTTTGGCACTCCGTATACATGCTTTCAGCCGCTTTAAGGACCTAGTGACATGCACAAATGGTTTTGTTTCTGTACTGGTTAGTTACAATCTCCCGCTGCTTTATTTATTGGTTACTGTCTTACTGATACTAGGATGCAGACCTTTTTTTAATGAGTTATAAGATCTTTAGATTTGTATACAAGGAAAGAATTTACATGAGAGTAAATTCATTAGTTAACAAAAGGATAGTGAAGTTGAAAGGCTTGTTTAAATGTTCTTTCAAGAATTGAAAATAAAGGTTCTGTTTTACCAGATGCATATACCTTTAGAAGAGCACATATCCTTACTTTCTGATGTGATATGTAACAGGTTGTTTTGATAATACACGTTCCCATTCACTTCAGAAATTTCAACATCCATGACTCTCTGCGCTTTGGTAATTTCTGTCATTGGTGGCTGCTCTTAGATTTATTGTTTCCTCTTGAGTGAAGAAGAGTTTTTGTGATTATTCTTTGGTTCAATCCTATGTGGTGATAAGATCCCAGCATTCTTCAATGTGCTGATTTCTTTGATGTTTGGTTCAGTTAGGAAAGGTGACAAAGGAGTAGACTTGCTAGCTTCACTGTGCAATATGTACGATGCCTCAGAAGATGACTTGAGGAAAATGATGGAGAAAGCTAATAGCTTAATTGAAGATATATTGAAGAAGAAGCCCTGTGTCGCATCTGAGTGTAAAACTGAGACCCTAGAAAATATAGACACAGGTAAGTTTGATAAGTCATGAGATCTATGGTTTGGAAATTTTATACATTTAATTTTTGCTTCAAGTAATCTAGTCTTCTATAATGCAGATGGTTTGATCTATTTTGAAGGCCTACTCGATGAGCCATCTCTTTCATCCAGTTTGAATATTTTAGAAAAAGATTATGATGATGCAATTCGTAATAAAGGTGAACTGGATGAGAGGGTACTCATTAATGAGGATGATAGCTTACTGGCTTCTGGGAGTTCATCTGGAGGTGCTGTAAATGTAACTGGTGTCAAGGTATGTGTTAATAAAGAAAACCCATTCTTTACCATTGTTGATGATAGGAAGGTTTTTTTACTTTCATTTTTATTTTTATTTTTTTTCTCTGTCGGCATTTCATGCTTTATATAGATGTCAATTGATATTAAAGTTTTGTTTTTTCTATTTTATGTAGAGGAAATTTGATTCAATAGCCTCGCCAACAAAGACAATCACAAGCCCTCTGTCTCCACATCGCTCTCCTACTGCATCTCACGCAAATGGTGTTCCTGGAGCTTCTAATTCAAGGATGGCAGCTACTCCCGTAACCACCGCAATGACGACTGCAAAATGGCTTCGTACTTATATATCTCCACTTCCATCAAAACCTTCAGCAGAGTTACAGCGTTTTCTATCCTCATGTGATAGGGATGTCACCAATGATGTTACACGTAGGGCACAGATAATATTAGAGGCCATATTTCCAAGTAGTGCCTTGAGTGAGCGTTGTGTAGATGGAAGCTTACAAAGCACGAACCTGATGGATAATATATGGGCAGAACAGCGGAGATTGGAAGCTCTTAAGTTATATTATAGGGTTCTGGAAGCAATGTGTACAGCAGAGGCTCAACTTCTACATGCAACTAATTTGACCTCTTTGTTAACTAATGAAAGATTCCACAGATGCATGCTTGCTTGTTCTGCAGAACTGGTGCTAGCGACACATAAGACTGTCACAATGTTATTTCCTGCTGTTTTAGAGAGAACAGGTATTACAGCTTTTGATCTTAGCAAAGTGATAGAGAGTTTCATTAGACATGAGGTATCTTTACCAAGAGAGTTGAGGCGGCATCTGAATTCTCTGGAGGAGAGACTTTTGGAGAGCATGGTGTGGGAGAAGGGTTCCTCCATGTACAATTCTTTGATAGTTGCAAGACCAGTCTTATCTGCAGAAATAAATCGCCTTGGGTTATTAGCAGAACCAATGCCATCTTTGGATGCAATTGCCATGCACATTAGCTTTTCTTCTGGAGGCCCATCCACTTCTTCCCCTTCACAGAAGCATGAAACTTCACCTGGTCATGTTGGCAGCTCAATCTTAGGTATGCAATATTGGCAACCTAGTTTAATATGAAAAGTTTGTGACAAGTGCATTTATTTGCTTGGTTATCTATATCAACTTGTCTTATAGGATTCATAATAGTTTACGTCTTTCCTTTAAGCTTTTATATAATAATATCATCGAATTGGCATAGATTCATGTTAACTTTTTTCAGGTCAAAATGGGGATACAAGGTCTCCCAAGAGACCATGCACAGACTTGAGGAGTGTCTTGGTGGAGAGAAACCCTTTTACATCACCAGTGAAGGACCGCCTACTAGCATTGAGCAATAAATCAAAGGCACCTTTGCAATCTGCATTTGCCAGGTATTGTTTGGTGTAGTTTGTCAGGGTTGGGTGTTGCATACTTGAGCTCTTCCTGCTTACTGTATATTGATTTTGAGACATCTGTTTTCTCAGTCCAACACGGCCTAATCCAGGTGGGGGAGGAGAAACTTGTGCAGAAACGGGAATCAATATATTCTTTGGCAAGGTATTAAAAACATGACATCTTATAGGTTATTATCTTTGGTTAAATTTTCACTTGTGTATGGATGAACTTTTTTCTTAGATGGGAAGTACGAGAAACAATTATAGCTCATCTCATTATGTTCATATCAATCAGTTGGAAAAATAATTAAATAATATCTGTAAAATCAAGTTAGTAATCAAAATACTAATTATAAGATACCAACATAAAGTTGGAAAATAAACTGCACAACGCAGGAATTTAACCTGACGTTCCAATGCCCAGATTAGTAGGTTTCATTGGCTGTACGGATGAGCCTATCTTAGTGCTAAAATTTAGCACAATAGGTCTAATGGTTTAAAAATCCCATGAATAAGTTTATTTGATGGCTAGGGCAACGCCTGGCCTACCTTTAAAATTGACTGATTTAATGGTTTTTTTCGTCTTTGTGCTATCCTCACAGGGAACTTGATGGGGCCTAGTTTTCTTCAACTTTAGTTCGCTGTTTTAATCTCATTTCAATACGGCTGTACCCAAAAAAAAAAAAAAGAACATTTTTCTGGTCAAATTCTAACGTGTTGCTTGTTTTGCACTGCATAGATTAATAAGTTGGCAGCTGTCAGAATTAATGGAATGGTTGAGAGGCTTCAACTGTCTCAACAGATACGGGAGAGTGTTTATTGTCTTTTTCAACAAATACTTAGTCAGCAGACATCTCTCTTCTTTAATCGTCATATTGACCAGATCATCCTCTGTTGTTTTTATGGAGTCGCAAAGGTCTGCTGCTAGTAACTAATAACATTCATTAGCTGCTGTTCAATTTATCTGCACATTTTCTCACACTTTGTGAATGATGGCCTGCAGATCTCTCAATTGAACCTGACTTTTAGAGAAATTATCTATAACTATAGGAAGCAACCACAGTGTAAACCACAAGTGTTTCGAAGTGTGTTTGTTGACTGGTCAACGGCACGGCATAATGGGGTAGGATGCCTAATCTTTTCTTTCTTAGATGTCTCCTCTTTTGTAGTCGTTTCTAACCATCCAATGGTCTCGCAACAGAAAACAGGGCAGGATCATGTTGATATTATTACATTCTACAACGAAATATTTATTCCCACTGTGAAGCCATTGCTGGTTGAACTTGGTCCTTCTGGGACAAGTACAAGAACTACTCGGATTCCTGATGCCAATAATAGCAATGAAGGTATGCTTTTGATATCTCAGTGTAATCTGATTTTTTTTTGGTTGCCCCTTGCCATTGCTGTAAGCCACCGCCTAATGTGCTTCCTTCGGTGTTCTTATCCAATCAGGTCAATGTCCAGGATCGCCTAAAGTTGCACCTTTTCCAAGTCTTCCGGATATGTCGCCGAAGAAAGTATCTGCAACACACAATGTATACGTCTCCCCATTGCGGACTTCCAAGGTACCTATAATTAAAAGTTATTGTAACATGGAGTTAAATAGGCTAGTTAATTTCTCATCTTGGAATTTATTTTCTGTTTTTATGTTTTTCTTTTAAAAAAGCTTCAATTTAGCATTTGATTAGCCTGCTGAGAAAAACAGAAAAGCTTTTGACTGGAGACTCCATTTTTTAGAAGTTATTGTTGGCAAAATTCTTATGTCAGCTCCATTTTAGTTTAATTTGGTCTGTCAAGTGGAGCATGAACTTATGTTAAGGCATTAAATTTTTTAAAACGTAATTAAAAGGCACATTATAACCTGTCGAAACTGGATTATGTTTCTTGTCTACAGATGGATGCCCTAATCTCACACAACTCAAAAAGCTTATATGCTTGTGTCGGGGAGAGCACACATGCATATCAAAGCCCATCAAAGGACCTTACAGCCATCAATAATCGCTTAAATGGGTATGTTTTATATTTTGACAACGACTATTAAACATAGAAGATCTTTGAATGTCCTGATAATGACAGTTTGCATTGACTTTCAGTACCCGAAAGGTTAGAGGCACACTCAACTTTGATGGGATTGATGTTGGCTTGGTTAGTGATTCCATGGTTGCCAGTAGCCTGTACCTTCAAAATGGCAGCTGCATGTCCTCATCCTGTGCGCCACCAAAATCTGAGCAATTGGACTCTTGAATCTTTGATTTTGCATCCCTATTCCCTACTTTCCCTGTTTGTAAATCCTGGCTCTCTTCCAATACTTAAATCTGTGTCCCAGGGCATGGCATGCGCGGTTATTTATTGTATGATATCCGCCACCCCCTATGTGCCTACATATATATATTACTCAATACTGTAGTTGAAGCTGGCCTAACAAATTTAATAAAATTTGCCTTTTTTGATCAATGCTGCTGCAAATACCAGTATCCATCCTCTGCCTGAACATTTTTTCCAATGTCATCTTGATTCCCAAAGGGATATTTCTTCTTCATTAAGTGGTGTGAAACACATCA